AAAACAATTTTATACACATATTTCTCATACTTTGAGATGTATGCTCAACTGGTAAAGGTTTCATGCCTTAATCAACTTTTTCATTATAACTTAAAAATTACAGGGAAAATAAATTATCTAAAAAAATTTTTTTTTTAATTTTATGTGACGACACGTAAAGGATTGAGACGTTACGAATAAACCGATTTCTTATATGTTAATATTACATATTAAAATCTTAAGAGCAACAACCTTTTGTATATGGTCTCATAACGGTGGCTAGGAAAACTTATTTGTTAATTGTTAGTTTAATACCATAAAGGCCTACATAAAAAAATTTGTTGGTATATTTTTTTCAATGCTTTGTAGTGTATTACAATGCATGTTCTACTTTCCAAGCCCTCTTATTTGGCCCTGATGTCAAAGGAATTTAAAAAAAAAAATTAATCCACTACATCATAATGGCCTACAGCTAAATCACTTAGCTTATTTTAATCTCAACCTTCTATCTTGTTTACCTGATGGGTAATAACTAGGAAACCTCAAAAAGGTGAAAAAAAATTAGAAAGTGGTCATTTACAACTTTGTATTGGCGTGGTCGATTTTTTCTGTTTTTGAGTGTAGCGTAGCTCTTTAAAAAAGAAATTTCAAAATTTTTAGCTCGCTGCCACTTATATTGTAATATAATATATGAGTAATGAGGAAAACAAAAATTAATACAAAAATAATGAGAAAAAGCATTTACACACATCTTTCGCTGGTGGTTATAATAAAAAAGTAAATTAAATAACTTATGCTACAGTCAACTAAAGCGCATTGTTTTATGCAAAGGTCAAACAACAAAGTGGGGCGAAGAATTCCTCATTGCTTTGTTCTGTTTTCGATCAAATTACAAAGAAGAAATGAAAGCTACGTCATCTACGGCTATAGATGTTGTCTGCGGATAAAATAGTCAACTACCGGGCGAGTTCGTAGTGAAAACAAAATTTTAAATTATTCGTTTCAGAATAGTCACACAACATCAAAACAATACCCCAAAAATATAAATACCTATAGAGCTTAAAGGTTTTAAATTTTTGATTTCACGTGTTGTAAATAAATCGCACTCACAGAAAAAATGCAGGGATCTGCGTCGAACAGTTAAGAGATAGCACAAATGTTTCAAATTAGAAGTCAATGAACGAAGTCCAAACCACAGTTATAAATAAAATTAAACCCGCAAAATAAAAGCATGCAATATATATTCACTAAACACTATTTCTTTCGGAAAGAGAGCAATGTAGGGATCTGGTAGTTTTTGTTTTCAATGTTTTATTTGTTTTATTTTTAAAACCATGAAACTCTTACTATATTACTTTTAATACTTATTGTCGCGTTATGAATCACAAAAATCTTATCTTCCTGATTTGATATTTGATGATATGTAACCGTTTCAGGTCTTTGACAAACCGTGGGGTCACATTCCGAGATTCAATGTCGAGTGCGTAGTCGTTTCGACAGTCGTTCTCGATTGTATCCTTCTAAGAGCTGATACAACTCGATTGCTTTCGAATAGAGAAAGGTGTTTTAGTTGAGGCATAAACAACGAAACATTTGTGATATTATTAGTTTATTAATAACAATATTTAAGCAAATGAACGCAAAGAACAAGAAGAAAGTAAATAAATAAGCAAAACAATGACCCAAATAAATTATTTTATGGTACCAGAAGAGAAAAAATTCGAAATTAATTATTTGCTTTTGCTAACATTTTGGAATTTCCGTCGTTAATGAGATGAGATCTTCTTCTCTCTATTAATTATATAAAATATTTGCAGTTCGCAATAATATTCTACTTTATTTTCCTTTTAAGAAGGATACTCCACAGCAACTTTACGATCGCGAAATTTTTTACTTAATAGTAACAGATATGCTTACTCTATCAACTGCCGGAAACTCACCACTCAATACGGCGATTCGATAACCGATAAAATTGCGTAAATAAAAACCTCGAAGAGGTAATATGGTTTAAACGAAAATTTTTAAACAAAGGTTAGAAAATTAACTGTAAATAGGCCTTTTACAACACTCTTAAAATCTTAAGTAAAATTATTTTTGTTATTGGCGGCAGCATTTATATTTTATTTGGGCTAATTTTCATTATTAGTTAGTTGTTATTATATCTTAGTATATAAGATATACTTTGGACATAAGAACAATTCAATCAGTTCAGTTGGAATCAGAATAATAGCACTCAATTAAAAACCAAGTACACCGCGAAAATTCGCGAAACTTAATTTTCGCAATCCCCGATTTTATGGCGTAACCTCTGTATTGGTTTATAAGATGACAACCCTGCATGCTCATAATATGGCGATCCAAATCTATTTTATATCAGAACAGTTTATATTCTTTATACAAATGTGTCATAAAAAGCTTAATTTTATTTATTCAGTCTAGAAGAATATAGACGAATTTAAAATTTTTATAATTTTTATATTGACTTGGAAGATATAAAAGTAAAAGATTATATGTAGCATAATAAGATTATTATGCAAATGCCATATTTAATGATTTGAGCTTTCATGAAAGCTAATCGGTTTTCTAAGAATCTAAATTCCAAGGAAGGGGAAAACCAAAGCCGCAGTTACGGCCTGTTCCCTGCGTCATGCAGCTGCCGATTGGCGAAAAGATTAACAACAATTGACAGAAATGTAAGGGAAAACGGATTAACAAGTTAACAGATTAAAATGTCGCGATAAATTAAGGTAATGCTAACTTGTTGGAGAAAGGGGATGTAAAGAGAATATTTGGGAAAGGAAAAATCAGTCGAGTCAATTGTAAGCCAGTCATAAAAAAATCGAAAAGTGAATCGTGAGAGTCTATTTCAGACATTTTAATTGTAATATTCGAACCAACAAGACCAGAACGACAGGTAAAGCGTTGTATATATAAGTTCACGTGATTAATTTGTAAATAGATCTCGTAATGTTGTAAATAAAATTTTCACTATCGTAAAAATCACTATTATTAGTATTCCAGTGGTGAGAACTTAATTTCAAAAGAAATATATAAAGTAATATCATGAAAAAGTGATTTACTAATTCTCTTGTTCCACGAATTAAAAGGACACTCCTTTTGCACGAAGTGTTTTGTTTTAACACGATTTTCAATATTCTACAAATATTTTTTAAGAACGCGTTTTTTTTTTTTTGAAAATTTTGAGAAGTTCCCAAATTCGCTTGCAAGTTTGTAAGCGATATCTTAATTTTCACGAACAGTAGAATGTTTACTACAGATACTATGCGGTGGCGCAAACGATTAGATGGATTGTTGAACGGATGGACATGCTAAACTGAATCCCAAATTTAAAAGCTGGCAAACAATTTGTATGCTATGTGAGGTTTTCAAACCTTGCTTCTATGCGTTGTAAAAGTTTAGAAAAAATGAAACTATGACAAACTATAAAATGAAGTTGGCGCAGCTGATATTTTCTGTTTTTGTAGAGCTACCACAGCGTCGTCCACAGAATATATGTTGAAATTTTTCAATATATATCTGTTGTAGCTTTTAGGTAATGAGCAAAAAGCTATTGGTTACTTCTTCTGAAAAACAGTGCCGTTCTCAGTTTACACGATAATGTAGGCGTGTCGTCCGACCGATTCAATCGATTTTCAATACCAGTTTGCGTACAAACGCTTTCAATGTTTCTGCAATATTTCTGTTCCTTCTGTTACCAAGACAACCATTACCAGACAATCAAACGGACACATAGACATACCTAACACGGATCTGAATTTTCTGCAGATCAAGAGTGTATATATCCTCTGAAGTTTACCAACGTACGTAACCGTTTTGGACAAATGAATATACACCTCAACCTTCAGCGATGAGTAAAATAATTGCTACCGCCATCACCGAATGGCTAAAATTACGTATCAAATCAACGATGATCGCGAAATATTCAACTTTCGATTGTAACCTTAATTACGAACACAACCCTGTAGCATAGTTAAAGGTAGGGTTGGTAAATTCATCAACAGGAAATGACGACTAACAGAAGAGATTGGCATGTTTTACATAAAGAAAACAGTAGGCTAGCGTGGTGCAGAAGAGGAAGAAAAGAAGTGACGCGATACTGAAGAAAATGAAAATGAAGCAACGAAGTATTAATGGTTCGTTGAAAGAAATAAAAAAAAATTTAGAAAATGAAGTATAGAAGCGTTTGAGGATAATGGTCATTACATAATATGGAATTATGTTTGTGATATTGTTATTATCTGAAATTTGATGATACTTTTTATATTGCTTTGGAAATTGAATCAAACTCACATAAGATCTTATGAAGAATTGTGAGACAAGGTATGTGTGGCGTATATTAAGATCACTTTCGGCTCGCAGGACAAAATAATGTGGCGACATCAAAAAGGCAATCGTAATACAATATTTCTCAAACAAAATTACCGAGAAGTTAACAAGTTATCAAGTTCAAGGCACGGGAGAGGTTATTGAATGACATCGATATATTTTTTCGATTAAAAGCTTTTGAGAACAATTAAAAATTGTGTAACGTCCGCGAAAAAAGTTCAGGGAGGGGGTCTGTCAGTCTGCTTTTGCCACGGGTGTCATAATAGCAGCATGCCGTTAGATGATATCACATTATTTTCCCCCTTTTTTTTTTAAATAGCGGCTAGCCGCTAGCTATGCAAAGTAAAAAAAAGGACAAAGAGAAAATTATTTGGTGGAGGGTTTTTGATCATTGATCTTTTAGTGTCGAGAAACAGCAGTTAAATGTTACAGTACTATTGTGCGGACAAGAAAACTTTGTTTTTTTGTGTGAAAAAGAAAAGTTATAACAAGCAAAAGAACAATACCAGTAAAATGACTATAAATAAATAGAAAATATAAAACAAATTTCAAGAACATATTTATAACAATAAAACGAAAACTTCTTTACAAATCTAATGAAAACGAAAAATCATCAAAATGTAGACAAAAGCTAAGAAATAAGAAGAAAATTATGGATATTTGTATTAAAATTCAATAAAAACAAAAGAAAAAAAAAGTAGAAATGTAGGCAAAAGTTAAGAAATGAGAAAAAAATTGCAAATATTTAAGTACATTTACGAAAGCACAAGCAGAAGGTTCTCGCTGACGTTGCAAAGATTCCGCGAAAAAATTAGAAAAGGAAAACAAAATATCATAGAAACAGGAATGATTTGCTCACTTAAACGGTAACAGAAAAAGCTTAAACGGAACAAAATTGAAAGGGTGTGAAGTTATATTTAAATATAACTAGCAAAGACACAAACTAAAATTTTTTACGGAGCTCTGTAAAGCCGTTAACAGAATTCTGTTAAACGAAGTCTCGGAGGGATTTAGCTCAAAATACAAGTAAAATAGAACTTTTCGCAAATTTTTTTGCAAATTCTTATAAACAAAACATGACTTTATGTAAATTAACTAATATTCGAAACCAAAACTTTTTTACACTATACCATAAATGAGATTGATAAAGCGAAAGTTTACGGAGCTACTGTGACCACACCATGTCCCTTGAAAAAATGAAACCAGCACAGAGTGAATCCTCTATTAATAGCCTTTCCAACGGTGTGCGGGTTGTATTAAATTTTGCCCCAAAATTTTTTTTTGGGACTTTGAAAATTTCCAAACTTAACATAATGCGGGCTAACATATAAGCAAACTTTGAAATGCCACTATGGGCAAACCATGCCCTTTGAAAAAATGAAACTAGGACAGAATGAATCCTCTATTAATGGCCTTTCCAACGGTGTGCAGGTTATATTAAGTTTTGCCCAAAGAGTTTTTTTATGGGACATAGGCTAACATATAAGCAAACTTTGAAATGCCACTATGGGCAAACCATGCCCTTTGAAAAAATGAAACTAGGACAGAATGAATCCTCTATTAATGGCCTTTCCAACGATGTGCAGGTTATATTAACTTTTGCCCAAAGAGTCTTTTCATGGGACTTTGAAAATTTCCATACTTAACATAATGCGGGCTAACATATAAGCAAACTTTGAAATGTCGCTGTGGGCAAACCATGCCCTTTGAAAAAATGAAACTAGGATAGAATTAATCCTCTATTAATGACCTTTCCAACGGTGTGCAGGTTATATTAAGTTTTGCCCAAAGAGTCTTTTTATGGGACTTTGAAAATTTCCATACTTAACATAATGCGGGCTATTATGAAAGTAAAATAATAGTATCATGAGAGTAAAACAAAAATATCATGAAAGTAATTTCTGAGCATCTTTTTATGGGACTTTGAAAATTGCTTTTCATAACATAGGCAGCTTGAGAAACAATGTTAATCCACCATGAAAGTCGAGAACTTCGAAATGGTTCTCTCTCATTGCTCAGTGCATTGTACTTTTGCGTTGATTTGTGCGTAAACGAATGTAAACAGGCATTTATTGCCTTTGCAAATATTAAATCGTTTTTTTTTCTATGCATGATGATCTATTTTTTTTAAGAAATTGAGTGAGAGAGGTCGAAATAGAAAATGCGTAAATAAAGAAGGTTTTAATGCGTCAGATCAGATATGGATTTTTATTTATAATTTTTATCAATTATGAGATACACATGGTTTTGTATATAAATTAGATTTGTTTTCGGATTTGCGTTAAAAATTGAAATTAGGAAATTACACGGTTTACAGCGTTTTCTACTAATTTATATACAATATTATAAGCACTGTCAATGAAATTTATAAACATAAACAAAACGGGTGTAAACACAAAACGCTGCGGACGTTATAACAATCTTTGAGAAATATTACCAACATTAATAACGTGGTCTGTTGGCAGCGGTCGAAATGAGCGGCGGTCAGGCTGACAAACATTACAGAGACGAACAAATGTCCGTTCGTTTGATTTTGCTTGCTATTATAATATATATATTTTAGGAACAGTAACCACAAACAATAAACATCAGTATGTTATTATATACGTTTTTTTCTCTTCGCCTTTTTTTTATTTTATATTTTTGTCTCCAAATAATGAAGAGAATAAAATATTTATAAAAAGGGAAGACGTACAATAACTATGACTGTCGTTGCTGACATTATTGTCTTTTCCATAAATAAGAGCAAATGTATAGATCTTATTAGAAAACCTCACTAGCTAACAATAAAAAGTCGGTAGACATACTTTATGCTATCAAGTGTATTTAAAGCCGATCACATATATGTATCTAAAATCTATATATGAATATATAAATGTACATACATACACTAAACTGATTTTGTTTTGTTCTTTTACTACTTGCCTCTGTACAATGCTCAAAATAAATGTGCGAGCTTGAAAATGTTTCTCTCTCATTGCTCATTGCATTACATACGTGCGTGGGTTTGTGCGTAAACGAATGGTAACAGAAGGATTTATTGCTCTTGCAAATATATTAAATAGTTTTTGTTCTTCTAGCATGTATGTTGATCTAATATTTTTTTTAAGGAATTGGGTGAGAGAGAGAGAGGGCGAAACAGAGAATGCGTAAATAACGAACATTTAGAAAAGCGGCATTGAGAAATATACGTGGTATATAAATGAGATTTGCGTATGCATTTGCGCGAAAAATAAATATTAGCATATTACATCGTTTGCTTCATTTTTTACTATAAAAATTTTCATTTTCAGTACAACTACTATGCACAATATTTTAAGCGCTGTCAATGAAAATTATGAAAATAATTGTAAGGGATGTAATAATTGCGTTGCAATCATAGTTGCCTTTTTCCAAAAATTAGATCGATAATATAAATTTTGTTAGAAAACCAGACATGTAATAAATAATAAATAGCCGCCAGGCATATTTTATTCTGTCCTAGTTTCATTTTTTCAAAGGGCATGGTTTGCCCACAGCGACATTTCAAAGTTTGCTTATATGTTAGCCTATGTCCCATAAAAAAACTCTTTGGGCAAAACTTAATATAACCTGCACACCGTTGGAAAGGCCATTAATAGAGGATTCATTCTGTCCTGGTTTCATTTCTTCAAGGGACATGGTTTGGTCACAGTAGCTCCGTAAACTTTCGCTTTATCAACCTCATTTATGGCATAGTGTAAAAAAGTTTTGGTTTCGAATATTAGTTAATTTACATAAAGTCATGTTTTGTTTATAAGAATTTGCAAAAAAATTTGCGAAAAGTTCTATTTTACTTGTATTTTGAGGTAAATTCCTCCGAGACTTCGTTTAACAAAATTCTGTTAAGGGCTTTACAGAGCTCTGTAAAAAATTTTAGTTTGTGTCTTTGCTAGTTATATTTAAATATAACTTCACATCCTTCATGTATATATATAATTCATAATCTAATTCTGCCTGCAAGTTATTTATTACAGCTTTGCTTCTTAAAACAAATGGAATATTGCATACGTTAGTTAAAGAAACTACTTTTGATATGTTAAAAATAACATCTACGAGTTGGTATAGAGAAGAAATGCATTGAGGAAGGTAAGAGTTAATACACGATCACAAATGGTTAGAGAAGAACCTATTTCAAATGAGTAGAAAGTAAAGTTGAAATATTTACATACTATATATGTATATTTCTTTTGAATTGGTCCTGTGAAAAAAAATATATTTATAAAAATATTGAATTTCGATGATTATTGTCCTTGAAATAAATTCTGACTTCATATATATAAATCCACCTAAGTGCGTATGCAAAGGGAATTTACTTAAACTATTAAAATGCCGAAAACACACATTACGCGATAAGCTATAATGGCTACAAACCTAGCTTTGTTTCTTTCATAATATTTCAACTTTAGCAAATGTAAGCTAGTACTATATTTTGGAAAATGAGTAACTTAAATGTTCAACTACAGTAGTAACAACATCAAACGATGACCACCAAACATAACCATCATTGTATTAAGCGCCATCAGTACGCTAGTTGGACTTAATCGATAATCTATATACATCGTATCTTCACTAATACGAAATCCGCAACATAGCGGAAGTCTTAAAGTATATTTATTTTTTTTCTTTTCTTTTATTCGCAATACTAATGCATTTGATATTTATCTTCGAGATAATATTTAAGTAAATTTTTTTTTTCTAATACTATTGGTAAATTTGTTTTTTCTACGTTTCGTTAAAAATATAAAAACCTGTGCTCAGATTTTTATATGACGGGCGAAATAGCAGCTCGTTCGTTGCTTAGGTTTCGTCAGTCCGTTGATTTTATATGGGTTCAATCACGTTTATTTGTTTTTTGTAATCGTCTGTGGTGTGAAAGTGGCACAACAATTAGAAACCTTCTATTTTTCCAGAACTAACTAACTGATTAACACGTGCACCCGTCTTTTACAGCCTCCAATCCTTTTTAATTGGCATACAAATGGGTCACGAAAGTCAGATATAAGGATATATACACATCAAACGTTCCAATCGTTTGGCATCAGATATGTATTAATTGTCGTTTATTTATCTGCTATAAATTTCATTTATAAGATTTACTACCGCACAGTTCGAAAATGTAATATTCTGTATTGTAAAACCGGCCCTGTGTTAAGTTTAAATGGAAATGACACCATACGTCAAGAAGTTTGTCCCTGTTCCTTTTTAATGATTTAATTCTTCGTTAAATTTTATTATTTAGCAAGTAATGGGTTTTATAAATGATTTTAGTTAAAATGCTTGCACGAAATCTTCTATATGAGAACATTGGGCTGGGGCAGCTTCAGCGAACGTTAATTAAAGTTCTTTTTCGTGGGGGTCGTGTGAAGACAACCTTGGTTTGGATATAACAATCCCTGTTTTCTGTTCGTATATTCTAGCTACAAAAGTGTAATTGTTAGCTAAAATTCAATTATCGCTGCGCCCGCTATCTTAACGTCATTCGTCGTTCCAAACCTAAGTACCTCAAGCACCTGTAATTCAAGAAAATGTCAAATTTGTCCTCTACCGTACCGTCAGCAATGTGCAAAGATGAAAATTTCTAATGAGCCGTGGTATTTTGTCAACTGCTTAACAACTGCTGCACCAGGCTCACTTTTCTCTGTTCGCGGACAATATAGTCCGCCTCAAATTCTTCTGGAATGTCAACTTCCAGAAGACAATTAAAATTACAACGATTAGTAGAAGTGAAGGAGATTGAAACAGAATTGCAAAAAGATTTTGTTCGGAAAGAATTACAAATTCTTGAACATCCATAAGACAATAAAGATTATTCAGGCCCTCTGCTAAATTCCAGTCATCAGTGGTTAAATGATCAGCCAAATCCCAGCGTACTTTCTAGAATATCAAATTCGTCAGCAACCAACAATGCTGCTAACCTCTCGTTTAACGATACGACTTTCTACAATTTATCTCAACAAACAACCAAATTATGCAAACAGCAACGTAAAAGAAAACTGTTATCACATATTATAAATATCCATCAACGTACGTATCTTATTAGAAAACGCTTTATAAATATCTGTCAGCATAAGTATACATGTAAAAAACTATGTGTGCATGCGACTCTAAATTTACTATCAAACTCGTTGCCTTTTTCTGTACAGATCAATCAGCACGTTTTTCTATTCCCCTTTCTTAATTAAATCGCTTTAAGAACCACAAAACTAAACAGTGCGTCATGTCAAGCATAAAATTTGGATTGGTAGATGCACTCATGGTAAACACACCAGAGGACGAGGTTACGAAAGTAAAAGTGCGAAGAACGACAAAAGAGGCAAACCAGTGACTTCCATACATACGAATAGTTTGAAGCATGTACGTGATAAAAAAACGACAATTTGACAACTCTGTCGCGCGATATAATCGTGTATATTTTGTTTCGGCAATTAATATTTTATATCTTCGTTGAATTTCGTGGCTATTTTGCCTTATAGCGTGTGAATTTAAATATACTTTGAGAAGAAAGTGAGTGAATTCAAAGTAAAACAAATAGTTTTTCTTTACGCTTTGATTCATTTGATTTTTGCAAACAAAAATTTGGAGCTCTGGTGTAAATCTCTCTTTTTTTTGTTTTATCTCTTTTTGTCTGTTTATTTTTTCGGTGTTTGTAGTTGTTTTGCTTTCGATCTCTTGTTACAATGTTAATGTATTATTATTATTATTACTATTTTAATTTTAGACTAATGAAATGAATTCTTAGACTAAAAAAAGACATTGACCGCTAGCAACACAGGCTATCGGCTCTAATTTAAATAAATGGATATTAGATAGTGAGCTTAGTAGTATTAAAAAAGTAATATATTGAATTGATATTCTGTTCTGAAGCTGATTGTAGAATGTTCAAAGGGTTAATCGTTCCAAATGCAATACTTCTCGCCAAGGAAAAGTTGAGGCAGTCGCAGAGAATGTGCTTTATAGTAAGAGTTTGTCCACAACAGCAGATTGGGGAAAAAGACTTCTTCAGGATCCATTGGTGAGTTGCAATTGTATGACCAAGGCGAATTCTCGAGAATGTTTGGATCTTGGTTTTCTCAACGTTTGTTGGTGATAAAGGTGGAGTTAATTGAGGGTTAATAAAAGAGTAGTGTTGATGATGGTATTGTAAATTTCCTTCTGCAATTTTCTCTTTAACTTTTCTTCCAATGTATCTTTGAAGATCCAACTTTTCCATGACATCATCCATAATTAGAGGAGCAGAAGCAGCATACTTTGCCGCTCGATCCGCCTGCTCATTTCCCAGTAAACCGATGTGACTTGGTACCCATAACATTTTAATTTTTCCGTCGGGTGTAGTAATTATATTCCTTAATTTGTTGATGGTGCTCCATCTCGAAGTTGAAGAGTTCCGGGTAGCTTGTAATACTCTGTCAGTAACAATGACGGTTTTGAGTTTGTTTTTATGGGCAAGGTTGGCAGCGTGAAGGATAGCTCTGGCTTCGGTTGTAAAAGTTGAAGTACTTTCGTGAAATATGTGGTTGAGAAGCACCCGTCCTGTAGCATCTACCACCGCACAAGCAGGAGGCAGACCAGGAGATTTTGAGCCGTCTGTGTACAAAAGATTCCAACCAGTACTGTTCAATATTTGGGTTTTTTCAGCTATTAGATTCCTGAAGATGTTATTTGGAGTATGTTCTTTCTTGTGCATAGACAGTGAGATGTCAAAAGAGCAGTCTTTCAAAACCCAGGGAGGTTTAATGTTAATGTAACAGAGAAGTTTTGCTCAAATTGGTTGAAAAATTTTTGTGTTGAGGATTTTTTTGCAATTTGTCTGTCTGTTCTTCATAATCCACTTCTGTCTTTTACACTGGACGCAGAGTATTTATATACACCTTGTCGGGCGAAAACGGGCCCGGAATCTGAAAGATTCGTTTCGTGTTGGCTTTTCGATCGCTTTGGCCACGCAATTGCATTGGCAGTGGGGTAATAATTGCCATATCTGCGTTATTTCCGTCCAAATCAATTAAATTTCCTACTACTCCTGACATTGAATTTATCGCTAGTCGATGAAAATGCCTAATAAACCACTATATATAAGCTGCTCCTATATTCCCCCAAATTCTGATATCTCCATATATAAGAAACAGGCCGCATTTACTTGTGAAGTGGCCAAGCAGTCGAAACCCTCCGATTTGGTTGTTGCGTTGGGAGACTTCAATTTTCCCCAAGTCAGTTGGTGTAAGAGTGATAAATCTGGCTGTTTGATTTCTACTTTAACATCTGATAGAGCTGTTATGTTCTTTAACGAATTATTTGATCATAATTTAGTTCAATACAACCGTATCCCTAATTGATCGTAATTTGGTTCAATATAATCATACCCCTAATTGTAATGGTAGACTGCTTGATCTCTGCTTTGCCAACTTTCCTGAGATTAACGTAAATCGTTGTTCACTTTTTAGTTTATCTGAGTATCCTTACTATCCAGCCATGTGTATTTCTTTTCGTCACAAGCATGATGGTTCGTTGAACTGTTTTAATGTTCCAAATACAACTTTTTCAAATATATATTACGATTTTCCTAAAATCGATATTGTATTGTTAAAGGTGATAAGGTTTCACAAATTTCCAACTGGGAGTATTGAAAGCTTATTGCCATCCTTCTACAATATATTAAATCTAGCTATTGCTGCATTTGTTCCGATCAAGCAGTGCCAAGCTCGAAGCAGGTGTCCCCCGTGGTTTAATAGGACAGTTAAATATTACAAGAATAGACAAAACACGCTGTTCAAAAAATATTCGAAAAGTGGGTCTGCTTGCGAAAATAGGAAAAAAAAACTTTCAAAAATTTTATGAATAGTGGATCTGCTTACGACGCTTATTCAGCTGCAAGGCATAGATTTAATTTCCTCCACCACCTTCCTTCAGATACCTTTAGTTTGTTAAATGCTCTCTGTTTGCTAATCCTAAATACTTTTTTAAGTTCGTTAATTCCAAAAGAAAAATCTCCATGAATCCCTCGCGTCTTTCTTTTAATGGCTCTGAGCCCTCGGATAGTTTTGAAATCTCAAATCTCTTTGCTGAATACTTTCGACGAAACTTTTCCACCA